GTAATTATGCCATCCCTTGCCTATCACGTGGCTCCTGATTGAAGAGCTCGGTGAATTTCACCTCGGCACAACACCCCCATGAGTTGACATATTAACGTTAGCATCGCTTAATGCGGCTGACTAAACACGAGGAAAGGATGAAGGATGGGTCCCGGTTCGGCCACCCAGCATGAGCTTGTCCTTTCGTCAGATTGGAATAGACTCCATGAAATGGATATAAAGCAACAACCCCTTTGAATGTACACTGGTGAAGGCAACGGAGATGGCATTGACACATGGCACGCGAGGCAGGCTGAAAGGTCTCAACTTCATACACGTATTGAGGACCACTTGATTTGTTTAAGGGCTCTTGCCACACATCCGAGGTGGGGGGTTAGGTCGACTTGGCTCGGTTGCTTTCTGCTCCCCTGCTAAAAGTATAAAACTCGTGGCTTAATGGAAAACCCATTAGTGGGCAACAAAAATACAGTCCTAACATCCCTTGGCAAAATGCACCAAAGTTGGGGCGGCTGTGCTCACGGCGGCGGCCCGGCAGATTTTGCAAACGTCTAGACACGTTCGGCAACCCTTCCAGCACTTTCCTGCGAGGAATTGGGGGCATGCGCAAATGCCATGCCAATGACATTCACATGTTCGCTGTTAATTTGAGAAAAACACATTGCGCCAGCTTCCCCAACTCGGTTTTTCTAACTCGTGCAACACGCACTTCTGGAATGTGTCGCGCCTGAAAACATACGAGCAAAACATTATGCGCACAACTGGTCGTGAATGCAGTAGGACGGGGAACATTGTCATACTTGTGTTCACTGGTCATGGATTGAGAAGAATGGGGCTGTTACCATGTTGGACATGTGTGTGTGTATGTTTGGTTGTGGATACAGTCGCGCGGGGGGTGTTTGATTATTTGGCGGCATCATGTTGGGCATGCACGCGTCCTTGGTTGTGGATACAGTCGAACGGGGACATTATGTCGGGCATGCCCAAACTCAAGTGAGTTCCCTGGGACCGCCATTTGCGGGGCGTGAGCAAAAGCAAACGGGAAGCTTGTGAGTGGGATCGATTCAACTGGCCCCACAGCAGTTCCGACATGGGGATCGAATTGAGCATATCAGCGCCGTCTCAATGTTCTACAGGTCATTGGTACCCCACAAAGCGTCGCCAGTCTAGTCTGCCAAGGTCACCTCCAGTCCTTTCTCCCGAAACCAAGGATTTCCTCGATTCGCAACTCACCTCACCTGGCTTGGTGGTTTGGATTTGGGCATCTTCCAAACGGGAGGCTAAGCTGAGGACCACTTGACGTACGGTATCCGAGTTCTCGGCGGTTTCCGTGGGGGGTCTGCACCCAGGGGAGCTTAAGAATTGGAGAAGAAAGGCTTCCACCTAACATTGCCCCCAACAACTGGTCCTCCAGCAGAGAGTAGTCTAGTTTAGTAGGGGAAGCCTCCCCCAAACAAGGGTAACGGGGCACTACTGGGGGACCTATAGATTATCAGGGATGGACATCATCAGTCCCCCAACCGGGCTTAGAACCCTCAGAAGGCTTCAATCAGAAGGGAAAGCGGCTGAACATGGGCTGAACATGGTCTCCCTTTCCATCACACCAACTCAACCCCCCCAAAAAAAAACAAAAAACGCCGCACCCAACAATTGTCTCGTCTCGGGCGGTGACCCACCACCCCCCCGCACCGCCGGACCCCCGGACCCCCCGACCCCGCCCCCCAAGGCGCCTGGACCCCCGTCGTCTGGGGCTCCGGGCATAGGCGGGCTTCCGCAGCCGGCCCTTCTCGTCCACCGCGGCCTCTTCCACGGTGAGCAGCGGGTCTGAGGGATCCAAGGCCCAGCCTTGGAGCAAAAGCCCCGCCGCCAGGTTTCTATCCTTCTCGTTGTCTCTGTGTCTCTGTGTCTGTTTTGTTTGTTGGGTTTCAGGCAGTCCTTATTCGGTAGGTTGCTCTTGGTTTGTTTATTTGTTTGTGTTTGTCTGTTTGTTTGTCTGTTTTGTTTTTGGTTTGTTTTTTTGCTTGTTTGTTTGTTTGTTTGTTTGTTTGTTTGTTTGTCTGTCTATCTGTCCGTCTGTCTGTGTCTGTCTCTGTCTGTCTGTGTCTGTGTCTGTGTGTGTCTGCGTGTGTGTGTCTGTGTCTGTCTGTGTGTGTCTGTGTCTGTCTGTCTCTGTCTGTCTCTGTCTGTCTCTGTCTGTCTCTGTCTGTCTGTGTCTGTCTCTGTCTGTCTGTGTCTGTCTGTGTCTGTGTGTGTCTGTCTGTGTGTGTCTGTGTCTGTCTGTGTGTGTCTGTGTCTGTCTGTCTCTGTCTGTCTCTGCCTGTCTCTGTCTGTCTCTGTCTGTGTCTGTCTGTGTCTGTCTGTGTCTGTCTGCGTCTGTCTGTGTCTGTCTGTGTCTGTCTGTGTCCGTCTGTGTCTCTCTGTGTCTGTCTGTGTTTGCCCGTTTGTCTGTCTGTTTGTTTGTTTGCTAGCTTGTTTGTTTGCTTGCTTGTTTGCTTGCCTGCTTGCTTGCTTGTTTCTTTCTTTCTTTCTTTCTTTCTTTCTTTCTTTCCTTCTTTCTTTCTTTGTGTCTGTCACGCCGCCCAGCTTGCCAGTCGAGGCCCGCGACAACCGCAGCATCAATTGGAGGAGAGAGGAGGAGAAAGCTGCCGAGGAGAAGGCTGTGAGAAGTGCGCAGATCAGGAGTCAGGAGACATACCCAGTGCTTCAATATTCGTTGTGCCGTTTTTGTTTTTTGTTTTGTTTTTTCTTTCGGATGGGGGGGAAGGAACCAAAAGGAAAACGGACATTCCAGCCTTCTCTCTTCTGTTGTTTTTGCGGGAGGGGGGGAACAAAAAGGAAAACACACCTTCCATTCTTGCCGGGCTTGGAAAAAAGCCCAGCTTTCTTGGCTTCTGTTTGTTTGGTGGGGGTGCGGTTTGGGGGGGGGGAGGGAGGAACAAACAAGCAAGAAGCACCTTCCATGTCTGCCAGGCTCCGGCAAAAGCACATTTGTAGAAAAGCCCCAAGCTGTGGGTTGTTTCCTTTTGGGGCCTCCATTTTCCGGGCCCCAAGCGACTTCTGGGGGGGGAAACGCAGGGGTCAGTCACCAAACGGGTCCCCTCGAGCTTGGCTTTTCCCTCGGGCGGTTGAGGTAAAGATGTTCCGAGGAGCGAGACCATGCTTGGAAAACCCGCCGGACTTCACTGCCTCAAGATTGTCCACGGAACTTTGAGCGCTTCAGATCTCCCCAAAGGCATGGCCCCCGGGGGCACGGGACTTCTTGAACCCCAAGTGAGAGAAGCAGGGCGGAACGAAGCTCCAGGGCAACTCTTTGTCCACCAAAATCAGCGCCGCTCGAAAGACCCCTCACACCATCAGCACAGTGCAGCCAAGTGGCCGCCGTCCATGGCGCATGCCAAGATGCGCGCCGGTCCCGCTGAAGTGCCGTCTATGGAGTCTTTAGGGGGCTTTGATGATCTAACCAGGCACACACACACAATCTCGGTCGGCTTCACCACCTAATGTTATCCGGAGCTCCTTCACTGCCAGACTCAACATCGTGAAGCGCTGCACAATCCACGTAGTCAACTAGGTCCTCCAGTAGAGAGGTTAGAACAAGGGTACCCTTTTTGACTGTAGTCTATTTGAGGGGAAACCTCCCCAAAAAAAGGGTAAAAGGCTCTACTGGGGGACCTAGTCAACATATGCCAACATTTGCCCGATTTGGAGGATCAACTTGTCCATGTGGCTAAAATATTGCACACATGAGCTGCGGGAGCAACTTGCTACATGGTTGAATGGTCGGGTGTTCCAGCCTCGCTCACCAAAGCACCCGTTTGGACTCATTGACCTCGTTGTCCAACACTGCCATGTGTTTGTGATCTCAACGACCAATATATCATAGACCTACCTCGTCTTGAGGGTGTGTATGCTAGCCCAAAAAAGGTATCCCCCGGGCCTGTACTGCTGTCTTCTGAAGGCAGTCGCTTGGGTTTGGGAATGATGCTAGGGGAAATTTGGGCTCTGTCTCCCTTTCCTGCCTCCTTGGCCCAATGATAGTCAGTACTGTCTGCTTCAGCTCTCCGATTTGGGGATCTCCTGCGATGTGTGTCAACCTGCCCAATTGAGTGCTTTGGGAGATAATCACCCAAGGAGCGAAGGATGGCCAAGGCCAGAATCACGCAGGTTTAGATTACCCCCCAATCAACATCTGCACCCCTTTGGTCTGACCGACCCCATGCTTTTTGTTCACAAAGTTAACCACTGGACATGGACCAAGATGCGCCCGAACTACAACTTGTGACCTGATTCCAGCCCTTGGATCGGGTGGTTTTCTGTTTGATCCCAATATTTGCTTGGTGGTTGAGACCAGTTCAGAACTCGATCCCCTCTCATCAGGGAAGCACACACCTCCAATATGTCCAACCAACAAGACACAGACATGTGAGGTGAGAAGCTCGAGCCAGACGGCGAGGTGACGAATCCAAAGAGTCCCTGGCTGGTTTACCTCCATTTGCTTAAGTCCCCTGCAAAAAATATACATAATTCCAGTAGTGATAGATTCCCTCTAAAACCAGCAGGGGAAAATAGACCTTATTCTTAACCAAATGGAAGTTTAGGAGTTAAAAGGGCTTGACGTGCCTCCTCACAAGGTAGCAAAGGCTCCTATTGGAGCAGTGTCGACCCCTATAAGTCGCCCCCCAGTTGATGAGCACTGTGGAATCCCCAGTCAGGGACCGGGGGGACTCAAGACGTCTGGAAACCTTCATATCGCTTACGAAGCTGTCGCGGACAAACGCGTGCCTTGTGATCCTGGAAAACCCAAGGATTTCTAGGATGGGCATGCTTTCGTCCTCAAAAAAGCAGGCAAGTAACGACCACCAAACCAGAAGTCCAAGTCAGTATGGTTTGGTTCACTGTTGCTCTCTTTCCTGCAAGACACAAGTCTTGCAAAAGGGTAAATACAAAACATAGAAGTCATGTGGCTTGTCAGAACGATGAACCTCTTTGTTGACCACAAGGGTCCACGCCACCCCTGGTGAGGTTGGTCATACCTGAAAGGCGTGGGGCAACATACGCCGTCCTTGGGGTACTCTTCAGTGCTTATCCGTAAACAAACCGGGTTCCTACATTTCCCCTTCAACAATCCCGTCAAAATGGAACTCACTTTCATTTGGACCAAACTGGCAATCTTTAACACGACCATTTCTAAGGGCATAGGTCTTCAAGCATAAAGCTGTGGGACATGCACGGAACAGCTTAGAAGCCGCTGAGGTCATGTTGCAATCAACGGATGACTCCTTGCACGGGACATGGGTCAACCGGAAAACCCGCGAGGGCAGCCAACTTCGGCTTCGGGCGGCGAGACGGGTCCAGGCCCGAAAACTTGGCCAAGTGGCTAAAACGTGGATCTGAGCCGTCCCTAGAAATCAGAACATACGGTCTAAACATTGTCTAGGTCCAGTACAGAGGTTGGAATGAGAAATGGAACGACCCCAAGAACCCCTATGGCTTCCTTCAAATTGAATCTTCCGGTTCACTCCTCCGGCCTCGTCATTCCCTATGGCACCAACAAGCAAAAAGGATCGATGGGAGTTTCTGGGCTCCTTCCCAACCCCTGGGTCATTCCCCAGACCTATCGCACCAGCAAGAAAAAGAAGAAGAAAAAAAAACACGGAACCGCCCGGATCGGGGGTTTGACCACGGCGACGTGCCTCGTGCTTGTGGGGAGGCCACTTTCCCGTTCCTCCGGCCACCTTTCCGGGCGACGCCGTAGCGGGGCCGGTAGCAACCACCGAGAGGGAGGGCCGAGCGCCGACGCGCGCGGAGACCGGACAAGCATGCGACGTGTTGGGCACCTCATGGTGCCCTTACCACTGAACTAGGGGGATCTTGGGGTGTTTCTACCGATCTTGTGACACTTAAATGGGACATCGCCACTGAACTAATTAGGTGGGAACTCGGGATATGTTTCTAGAAACATCTTATGCCCCCCTTTCGGCAGGAAACCGTTCCCATACACAGCTTTGAAAGCCCCCAGATCCCCGGTCCAGCAACACTTGCCACAATCCAAGATTGAGCTAACCCTATGATGAATGGACCAAATCCTGCACCAGTTGGGATGGACGAAACCCTATGAGACAACCCACAAATAAACAAACGAAGCGGATTTCGTCCATCTAAGCCCACCACTTTCCTCTCCGCAACAATCACGGAAGCCGACTGGAAATTCTTGGAAGACTTGGTTCCTTAGGGGAAGCTTCATGCCCACTGCCATGGTTGGTGGAGAACTCAATGTTGACCCCGGACCAATCATTCCGTCCTTTTTTGTGGCGTGTTCCACTCCAAAAGTCATGATTCCCCACATTTCACCCAAAAACCCTCTACGAATAAACTGGGGCTCAGTTGTTCAGTGGCCCTGGGAAAAAAGAGGGAACCCTTTTTGGGGAAGACCACTTGTGGAGAAGGGTGCCACTGAACTGAGGGGGTTGAGTACTCGGTCACCACTGGCCCAGAGGATCCCAGGAAAGAAACTCTTCGCCAGGTTTTTGGTAAATCTTTTGGGAACCCGCTATGCAGGTAAATGGAGGCACTGGGTAGGGTTACCCCACTGGGGTTGATGAATCCGAGGTTCACATTCTGTGGTCTATTCATCTTTACTCATGATGCTGGTGTCGTTCTAAGGTTAGACCCCCCGGAAAAAATATATTTCTTCATCACTTGCTGGTCTTTTTTCAGGTTGGACCCCCCGAAGAAATCATTTTGCACCGCCTTTTTGAAGCCCTGGAAGGCCCTGGAAGGCCCCGCGCCTCCGCCTCCAAACGCTGCAGCTCCGCCTTGATCTGCGCCAGCTCCTCATCCTAGACCCAGGTTTTGGGTGTGATTTTCCCTACCGCACTGGGCTGGGCCGGGACCCAATTTTCCATTCTGGGCCCGTTTTCTGATCCCCCGCTGAAAGTGACGAACTTTTAGTGTGTGAAATGGAAACTACCACGAAACACTAAAAACGAAAAGGCTAAGAAACCGGATGGCTGGGAGCCACCAAGCATTTACCTAGTCTTCCGCTTGGAGAAAATGGGTTGTTAGAAATGGAGATTTTCAGGGGTCGAACCCCCCCTCCCCTTATTCCATTTTTTAGGGGGTGGGGATGTGTGCGGTTCCGAAATATGCGAAGTCAACCCTCCAAGCTCCCAACAGCCACCAGCTGGAGAGGTTCTATCTCTAGGCCGTGCTGGTGGTTCCCCCCCAATTGATGCCCCTCCCCCGCCCCTCAAAAAAAGAACGAAACAAATGGGTCATAGGGTCGCGGGTGGTCTCCCCATAAGCCCCGGAACCCCCTACCGAATCTCCTTTTGAACCCTCGCTGAAAGCTGGGCAAAGACGCCATGGCTTTCAGCTGTGGGTTTTGCACCCTAAGATTGTGAGGGTCTTCGCCAACAAAAATGAGGGTGTTGTAGGGTGTCCACCAACTCCCCCCCAAAAGAAAACATGAACTCAAACACACAAACAAGCAAGCAAGCAAGCAAGCAAGCAAGCAAGCAAGCAAGCAAACAAACAAACAAAGAAACAAGCAAACAAACAAACAAAGAAGCAAACAAACAAACAAACAAACAAACAAACAAACAAACAAAGAAACAAACAAACAAACAAACAAACAAACAAACAAAGAAAAAAACTAACAAACAAACAAACAAAGAAACAAACAATCAAAGAAGCAAACAAACAAACAAACAAACAAAGAAACAAACCATCAAACAAACAAACAAACAAACAAACAAACAAACAAACAAACAAACAAAAAAACAAACAAACACACAAACAAACACACAAACACACAAACAAAGAAACACACAACCGACCAACCAACCAAACAGACTAACAACAACAAGAAACAACCAAACAAACAAAGAAAACACAAACAAAACTAACTTTAAGAAAAAGAAGAAGAAAGACGCACACAAACAAACAAACAAACAACCAACCAACCAACCAACCAACCAACCAACCAACCAACCAACCAACCAACCAACCAACCAAACACACACACACACAAAAACAACAACTAACAAACTAACAAACACACAAACAAGCAAAGACACAAACCAACACACACAGAAACAAACAAACAAACAAACAAACAAAGAAACAAACTAACAAACAAACAAACAAAGAAACAAACAAACAAATAAGCAAACAAACAAACAAAGAAACAAACAAACAAACAACCAACCAACCAACCAAAACAAACAAACAAACAAACAAACAAACAAACAAACAAACAAACAAACAATAATGCCGTTTCAAACATGTGCCAAGAAAGGCAGCCCTTGAATAAGACACACCCAAACTTGCACTCTTAAGCCTCTCGTTGGGTTTTTATTGGTCAAAGATGCAATGTATCAATCCC